GGGGATAAGATGTTTTATTTTGTAATGTTCCAAGTTTTTGAATAACATACTCATTTGTTTCAATAGAAAGGGATAGGATCATTTTCCTTACAAGAAAAACTAAGAAGATCATTTACTTAATTTATTATAAAAATTGAGTGTGGATATAATGTAAATTCATGAAGCTACATTTATTTGTTTTTTGTTTGTTTATTTATAATTTAAATTTATATGGCTGGCGAACTCACCCACAATTTTATTACAAGAATAAAATCCCAATACAAAAAAAACATACAAAAAGCAATAACCACCCCACCTCACTGTTGACAACAATAAATGATTGATTGCCTCCCTATCATTCTGGGGTTCCTATGGTCATTGGCAGAACCATGTCTTTTCAACCTTGTGAAGAGTGTCAAAGTGGGGACCAATCTTACCTCTTCAGGGATGATGCAGAGGGAGGTATAGGGAGGGAGCCACCATGGAGAAGGCCCTTCCTTTTGGTCTCAGCAGATGGATCTCTTTAGAACGGCGACTGATAGCATTCCCTGCTCCCGCACTTTGGTGGGCTGGGTAGATCCGATTGGGAAAAGACACTCCTTCAAATAACCTAATGCAGACAATATACTTTTTCATATGTAATGCTAGACCTTGGATGTTCAAACTTATCTATTGGTCATAAGTCAGGAGCAATATAATGAAATTTGCTTTATACAGAACACAGCTTACCTTCTGAAATGTACTTCTATAAGGTGTTGTAGCCATAGGTGGCTTCTTTTAATGGACCAATTCTTGGAGACAGATCTAAAAGCAGTTTACAGCTAAGGTGGGCAACTCCCATGCTGACAAATGCCTTCTATTTTGCAATTGATTCTCAGCAACTTAGATAAAATGTCTTGTCGTAGCAAAGGATCAGAAATCTTTATCTTTATTCTTTATTGGCCAAGTGTGATTAGACACACAAGGAATTTGTCTTGGTGCGTATCCTCTCAGTGTACACAAAAAGAAAAGATACATTCGTCAAGAATCATAAGGTACAACACCTAATGATAGTCATAGGGTACAAATAAGCAATCAAATCATACTAGGAAACAGTCAATATAAATCATAAGGATACAAGCGACAAAGTTACAGTCATACAGTCACACGGTCACAAGTGGGAGGGGATGGGTGATAGGAACGATGAGCGGATTGATAGTAATAGTAATGCTAATAGTAATATTATAGTGTTGAGGGAAATTCAAAAAATGGAAATTTGTCAAATATTTTGATATTCAGATATTTTGAATAGGATCTTTTAAGACATGGATAAATTTCATATAATGTCCTTCAGAAATATTTTTGATTGATGTAGTCACTTGATGAGTGTATATGTATGGGAATGGTGGTAAACATATCACCGTATAAAAGTATGCTATCTCTCTAAATTGTTTCTGAGTTTCTATAGCTTTTGGAAGTTTCCAGTTAATCATTTTTATCAAGATACATAACCTTCTGTTTCTTTCTACCATGCCTCTTTTATGATGTTTCTCCTTTCCTTTTTTCATGCTAACTTGCATCTGCAATGTTAGTGAATGCAGCCATTGGCCCGAAGAACATCAACTAAGCTTAATGTTCATTAATGGTAGCAGCTTACCATTATTGTGTGGAGTCAGGGGGTGGGGATAAGAAAGCTCTTGTTTGTAAGGTTACCTGAGAAATCTATCTGCTGCTAGTGGCAACAGGATGCTAGACAAAATAAATCTTTGACCTTACACAGCAGAACTTCAGAACTTCAGCTTTTTTTCTCTTTGACTGCAGACTGTGAAGAGTCACCCAGAGTAAAAAAGTGGGCCAGACCAGTCTGTACACCATACCCCAAGTTTCGTATCACACCATGCCACACCCCAACAGACCTCTTTAAAAGAAAGCAGCTTTCCTGTAAAACTAGCAGCCCTGTAACAGGCAAGGAGCATATTCTTTCAGACAACTGGTAATATTTTATATTTTTTCCTGGTCTTGTTGAATAACACATTTAAAGTACAGGAAGTGCTCAACTTACGACCATAATTGAGCCCAAAATTTATGTTGCTAAGCAAGACATTTGTGAATTTAGCCCATTTTATGACTTTTCTTGCCTCAGTTGTTAAGTGAATCACTGCAGTTGGTAAGTTAGTAACATGGTTGTAAAGTGAATCTGGCTTCCCCATTGACTTTGCTTGTCAGAAATGGCAAAAAGTGATCATGTGACCCCAGGACACTGAAACCATCATAAATATAAACCAATTGCCATGCATTGAACTTTGGTCACATGACCATGGAGATGCTGCAACGGTTATGTGAAAATGGTCATAAGTCACTTTTTTCAGAGTTGTTGTAACTTTGAACAGTCACTAAACCAATGGTTGTAACTCAAGGACCACCTGTAGCTTTAAGATGATAACCTTTTCCTATTTAGGAATACCTTCTAACTCCTGTGTACTACAGATAGTGTATCAATTTATAATTAAGATAATACGTCTGTACCTGATCTCGGTTGGTTGTGTCCACGTTTTAAGTTTGCTGTGGCATTAAAAAAAATCTTTGATTTTTAAAAAGTTCTTAATAACATCTTTAATAAGTATATATAGTAACTTGGAATTTGTCTATTTTCCCCCCTCTTAAGTTCAGTTAATTTGGGGTGTATTTCTGCAGCATATGAAAGAGACACTTTCTGGCAATGGGAAGAAGGAATGACAGTGATGAGGTTCATATACTGTATTAAATAGGATTGTTTTTAACCATGGTATTTTTAATAAACCAAGGTCGGGTTCAGATTCACATTAAAATGAAACCAATTATTACATTATAGCACAATACATAATATATAGTAGTCTATCAGTTAATTGTACTGACAAAGACTGATTTAGGATTTTAAAAAATAGATATTATGGAATAATTAAATTTTGTCCCCTCTCTGGATTTGGGCATATTCATAAGGAAGAGTAGAAGCACGTTTATTTATTTGTCTATTTACCCTTTTTTAGGCCAAATTCTCCACAACAGCTCAGCAAAAGAAGAGAAACCTACCAACATACAGCTTGCCAAACAGAAATAGTTGTGAAGGATGATCTCCAGAATGATAGTTTGGATCGCTTCCTTAACAGTTTCTTCTAGGGATTTCTTTCACCACACTCTTATTAATTTAGTTTCAATGCATGTTGTCATGAAGACTGTATCAAAATGTATGTTCTATTGAACTAAAATTGAAAAACGTATTTCCTTCTTTTAGTTGTGTTCTAGACGTAACATATTGCTTCTACTTTAAGAAAGGTCAACAGAAATAAATGCCTATACTGGGAACTATTGTTTGACATGCAACTGAATTTTATTACAGCACAGAATATACAAGTGAAAATAGTCTTTATGAACATGCTGGGTTAAATTTATTAGACTGTATTTGTTAACATTTGTACCTTTCTAAGCATGTGGAAACAGGGACCAAAAATGAAGTAGATTTCTTTTGGGTGTTCCTATTCTTTTAATAAATATACATATATTTTTAAGAATGTGTGATTTCGATTCTAATTCAGTTCTGTTCTAATAAGATGACTGTTATATTCTTACAACCATTCTTTTATGTCAGCACCTTGAGGAGGACAAAATTCCAAGTGCCTTGCCTAAGATCTGCATAAAAATATTTGCAGTGGTTCAAGTATCTGGAGGGATGTCAACTCTCCATTCCTTTAAAAATTGTGATTTCCATACTGATGAGATTCTAAAAACAATATACTTGATTATAAAACTGAGCAAAGTCTTCTAATTCAATGGCATGTTTCTGTTTTCATAATGCTGTGTGGGACAATGAAGAGCAATTGAGGTCTCAAGGGTTTTTGCCTTGAATTTTACATTCATTGAAATGAAGTTGATCTGGACTTCAAATTGTCTGCATGAGAGACTGCTCAAATTTACACACACCTATCCAAAATTTACAAAATATATAAATGGGCTAAAGAAGATAATTGCAAAATCCCTGCCATCCAATATACGGCTTGAACCTCTGGCTCTTCCCACAAAATAAGACTGGTCACCCCCCCTTTTTTTTAACTGAATCCAATTTATTTATTTTGTCAAGCGATTATTAGATAACAGGTATAAGTATAAACATGGTTACGAATACATGAAATGGACGCGAATAAAAAAAAAAGAAACATTAGGACAGGGACAGTAGGCACATTGGTGTGCTTATGCACGTCCCCTACTTATTACAGTAGGCTAAAATAACACTGCCCAGTTTACAGTTGTGTATCATGTGAATATATCTGTAAGGTAGCTCTTATAATACTGGATAAGTCCAGGTAGTCCTCAACTTTCAACAGTTTGCTTAGTGACCGAAGTTACAATGGCATTGAAAAATGTGACATGATTTTTCACACTTATGACTTTTGCAGCATCCCCATGGTCACGTGTTTTACATTCAGATGCTTGACAACTGAACGTAAATTTATGGCGTCAGTGTCATGTGATCCCCTTTCTGACAAGCAAAGTCAATGGGGTAGCCAGATTCACTTAACCTTGTCACTAAGTTAACAACTGCAGTGATTCACTTAACAAATGTGGCAAGGAAGGTTGTAAAACATGGGCACAACTCAACTAATTGCTCACTTATCAACATAAATTTTAGGCTCAACTGTGGTCGTAAATTGAAGGCCTGTATGCAATTTGACACAAGTCATATTTCCTGGACAGTGAAGACTAGCATCTCCCACATGTTCTTTTCAGTCCCATAAAGGTAGCAATGGTTACTGATTTACCAAGACCTCTACTTGTTCTAAGTGCCAGGCTGAATAGGCCAAACGTCGCCTCCTCGTGTGATACGTAGACACAATCACAGACAACTTTCCAGCAGCTCTTCTGAGTCCAGGTAGAAAAGGCACCTTGAAGGACGTTTTGCACCACGCGGGCTCCTTCGCTCTTATGCCAAAGCGGAACGTCAGTATGCAAATGAACGGAGGTCGGGCCCATCATGCACCGCGGGCGCTTTAATTTCTCGGTGCCCTACCTGCGATGCTGTCGCGCGGTCAGATCGCCGGGCGACGGTTGCTGGGGCTTCTGTGGCGGTCCGCGCCAGCGCCTCGGGCCTTCTGCGCGGCGGAGGAGGTGCAGCTGCGTCCATGGCCGGCCGAAGTCTGTGCGTCGAGCGAGGCTCTCTGGCTAAAGCTGCAGGCCGGCGGCACTTCGGTGACGCCGGACTTCATTAGCGAGGAAGAGGAGGCGTTGCTGGCTCGGGAGCTGGAACCGCAGCTGCGCCGACACCGCTATCAAGACGAACACTGGGACGGGGTGGGTGGTTCTGCGTGGCTTCGAGGGAAAGGATCCTTGGCTCCCATGTTGAAGCTGAAGTGTAGTTGGCTTGGCTAAGATCGGCTTCGTGTTTTGTGTGAGCCTGGCCTTTGCGCCGTTTAGGATTGGAGTGCTTATTCAACAAACCACTTACGGGAGTGAACCTAAGTTTTTCAAGCTTCCCAGTTTAAAACATATTTGGAGAGACCAAGTAGTCTTAACGGATCTTACTAAGCATGCATATGGGTTCCCAAATTAACCACATGTTCTGGGCTTACACAACATACTATAATAAACCATAAACAAGCCTTTTGGACTACTTTGCCCAATACGTTGGGTTAAAATGATGCTAGCTAGTTTGTAGTTTATTGTGCCTTGTACGGACAACGAATATTGTGTGGTCACAAAATGGGAAGATGGGCATTCTAGTTTTTGTAAGATTATGGGACAATATTACTGTGTGGAACAACATAAGTATAAAGGAAATATCTTGCCCCCCCCCCCCCATTTAAAAATAGTATCCCAAAGAGGATACAAACAGTTGTATTCTACTGTTATATAGCCATTCTAGCCTGATATTGTTTTTACTTGTTTCTTTTCTGACTGGAAGTGGTAGGATTGAGTTTGAAGACATCTGTAGTCTGGGCATGTTATACATCCTCTGAATGTTGATTTCTTGCATTCATCCGCTACCCAAGAGCTGCTGCTACTGGCTGCTGCTTGGTGAAGCTACTGAAAGTTGTTTGCTTTGATGGCAATATGCTAACAAGTATGTCTTTGTTGCTCGTTATTGAGATGGTACAGCAGGAAACTATGCATATCTTGTGGACTTCTCAAGAAGTTGAGGTTGGGAAGTACTGGGAAACTGCACTCAACATTCTGTACAGTTTTAATTTTGCGTGGGTTAATGTTTCCTTATTTGTGGCTTGAGAGATGGACAATATAAATAATAGTTTACTTAAGGTTCAATCATTCAGAATAATCATAAATATGTCCAGTCCAGGTGTTGTGCTGTTCATGGATTAGAAGTATAAATATCAACTGAAAGGGGGTGGGATATGGGAAGATCCAACATATTAACTATTGCACCCAATCTTGCCTATGCAATAAGTTTCTTCATTGCTTGATTTAAATGTCCTTTTTAATGAATTTGGCTCAGATGTTTAATTGCCATTCGTTTGTAAACTTGAGCATATATTAAGTCAGTGAATAGAATTTTAACTTGGTGATGTATTTCTATCCTACTTTAATGTTTATTTCATGTATCCTTTTTATGTGAAGTACAGGTAGTCCTTGATTTACAACAGTTCCTTTAGTGACCAAAGTTACAACTGCACTGAAAAAAGTAACATGACTGTTTTTCACACTTACGACAATTGCAGCATCTGCCTGGTCACACGATTTATATTCGGATACTTGACAACTGACTCACATTTATGACAGTTGCAGTGTCTCAGGGTCATGTGATCACTTTTTGTGACCTGACAAGCAAAATCAATGGGGAAAGCAGATTCAATTAACCATGTTACTAATTTAACAACTGCAATGATTCAAATAACAAATTTCTCACTTAGCTACATAGATTTTGGGCTCAATTGTGGTCATAAGTTGAGGACTACTTGCATTTGGAAAATACAAATTGAGCAATTTTATACAAACTATTAAATAAAATAGATCTGGGCTATATCTTATTGGTATGAACTAGCTCTTTACTAATAAATCAGGATGTGAATATTAAATCTAAATTTTGTTTTAAATCTAAATTCCTTTATTGGAAATTTATTGTTTTAATGTTCATTTGCAAATAAGTGTTTAAGATCAATTCTTTCATCTGTATTCTCCCTCTTTCTCTTATATCCTACCCATCTTTTCTCTTCACAGTAAAAACAGCTTTTTAAAATGGCTCAGTAATACATAATTCTGCACCTTAATCATTTATTATAATGCTATGTTCATTTCTTGCAAACCATACATTTGTTGGCATTTGATCGGTCAGTTTAAAGCAAAACCTGATAGTTTTGGTGCAGTTTATTTTTATAGCAAAGATTATTCTTTTCTATATTTCCCAAACTACTGGCTAAAGATGATATAAAATTTGGTTCGTGGAAATGCCCAGTGCTTGACTGAGTTCACACATGCTAAATTATGGTTTGTTTAGAAATAGTTTAATGAAAAAGCTATGTTGTTTGGGTTCATATTACATAATAAACCATATTAACCAAAGTTAAACCTCAGTATAGTGGGATGGGAATGAATGTTAGATGAACACTTATCAAGTTGTCCACACTCCTCATCTTTCTTTAGAAAAGATGGTACCATATTCTCAAACTGATTACTCGGTTTGATTATGAGCTGTTTCAACTGAAATATGTATGTAAGGCAATGTAAAAAGGTTATCCATGATATTTGGTGTTTTATCTCAGTGATTAGCATGAGATTCTGTAGTCACCACAGGAGTGCATATATATGGGTGATCAAAGTTGTAGATGGCTATCTCATTTTCTTTCCAGATATTCATGCCATCTCTTTCCACTCCTGTAGGCTATTCATAAGTATCGGGAGACAGAAAAATCATACTGGAGCAAAGAATGTAATGAGATCTTACAACGAGTCCGGAATGCTGCTTTTCCTCCCGGAGTGCCACAGCTCGCTCAAGTCCACGTTCTGGATTTGGATAAAAGTGGCTATATAAAGCCTCATGTAGACAGTGTCAAGGTAAGATAGCATAGAATCTATAGATGCCGAGAAAGTGTTATTTTGTAGTTTTTCTGGTAGTTTCGTAGAATTGCATGATGGACCTTGGAGGAGGGCTTGATAAGTTGTTGCACATACAATAAAATCTTTTTATTGCAATTTATTTCAAAATGACTTTTTTTTTTTTTTACTATTCCTGTGAAATTTTATTCTTTAACTTGAATTGATTGTTAAGAAAAAATTCTCATTGGAAAAAGGTGAATTCGTTACTTTTGGGAAAGTTACATAATAAGCATGTTTTGGTTGAATTTCCAGAACTTCCTCCAATATTAAGCGTCAAACATTTTTTCTGTAACCCTAGTAAACTTCAGGATAAGCAAACATGTTTGCCCTGAAGCAGATGTAGGCATCTGCCCTTTGAGAAATAACATTTAGCTGAGATGCATACAGCTTGGCCTCATCAAGTTGAAAGTTTGTTTTATAAATTTACTTGCCAATGGAAATGTGTTTTAACCTTGATCAGAAAAACAAATGTAAAATGAAGGTGGCAGCAGTTTTAGATATTAATCAGATTAAGAAGAGTTCCCAAAGATGGGCTATAAATTGAAGAGATGATTCTTGAAGGTAGTGCAAGAATCCATTACTTTTTAGCAGTGTCCTTAAATTTAGTTTGTCTATGGAGATTCTCAGTCATCCAGGTCATGGTGGTCCAAAGTTTTCAAAGGCAACTGGACTTTGTTTTTCCTTCAAGGGATTTTGCTTCTCATCCAAGAAATTTGTTCAATTTTGACTTGAATGGTGGAGGATGGAAGGATTTATATCCCTTGCAGTCATCTGGTCACTAGTACTCTTTCTGAGAATCATTGAGGACATTTGGAGATTTATTTGTGCCCTTGGAATAATTGAAATTATTGTGTTGTAAACAGAAGATAGGTAGTATTGTATCCCTCCCCCTTTATTGAGAGAGGGCTGTTTAATTTTATTGTAGATGGTCTTTATAACCCCTCTTTCAATCCAGCAGTCCTCTCATCTAGAATGTGGACTTTGCTGTCTTTCAACACTGTCTTTATAACACAATACTTTCAGCTGTTCCAAAAAGGTTCCACACCCATTTGTGTTATCCACAAGACCCTGAAGGCACAGATAAAACTCCAAGTGGCTTTAATCACTCTCAGAAAGAGTGCTAACAACCAGATGACCACAAGGAATATAAACCCTTCCAGCTTCCATTCTTCAGTCAGAACTGAAGGAAAAACAAAGTTCAGTTGCCTTTTGACAAAGCACCTTTGGGACTTAAATTCAGTTTGCTTTTTAATGAGAAAAGCAGTTGGCTTTGTAACTATATTCATTTGTACTAGTGGCCCTTAGTTGTTAAGATAAAGTAGTAAATTTGTAAATTTTTATGCAGAACAATTCCATGAAATGCAATATTATCTCTGTAAGAAAGAAAGGTTCAAACTGGTAATCTTCCTTATATTCCATATCTGTCTGTCTCTACAGAATTTGGTAATGTGAACTTCCATATGCAACTTCAATGTAGTCAATTTTTATAAACTTAAAGAAATAACATTGGCAACTGCACTCATCTATTCCTCTGTGGACTTATTGGTTCCTATGAGAAATTGATTGTTCTGATAAGGAGATTGAAGATTGAAGCCTTCTTCCATAATAAATCAACTGTGCAGTTCTATACATGCTTACACAGTAGTAAGCCCCATCTTTGACAGCATGAAAATGTGATTCAGTCACTGGAAAAAGTCTTTTTAAATTTGGTATCTTGCTCCTAGTATTCATGTCATGAATCTGATGGCAAATCTCCACAATGTCCTAATACTGTTTTTTTCTAGGTGATAGAAAAAGAATGTCTATGTCCAGTTGCAACATGAGACTCTGGACAACTTGACGTCCTAATATTAGTTAATAAGTGATAGATAATTTGTATTATTCTAATCCCATAATGTTTATATTTCCTTTTGCTTAGTTCTGTGGCTGCAGCATTGCAGGCCTGTCCCTCCTGTCCACAAGTGTAATGCACCTGGTTAGTGAACAGAATCCACAGGACTGGCTGGATCTTCTGCTGGAGCGCCGATCTCTCTACATTCTTAGGTAATAAAAATTGCTTTGTTAAATAATCAGGTTAAGTGGCCATTTAGTCTAGAATCTTGTTTCCCGATAGTGACTAAGTAGATGCTTCTGTGGTTATGGTTTTCAGAGATACACCGTTTCTATATATGGAGTCCAGTGTAACTATTGTATTTATCAGCCTTTGATAGACTAATTGTGATATCCTTCACCATCATTTTTTGGAATGTATTCTGTTCCCAAGATCAGTCCTGGGTTCCATATATATTTTATCCTGCAACTACACAAATTCTACTTTTTATTGGCTCAGAGAAATTCTTTGAACAATGCCTGTTCATCCATCAGTTTGAGATGTACTAACTTTAAGTAGAGATTTCACTTAAGAATCATGAGTCAAATGCACTAATTTTTCTCCCTAAACATGAGACATAGTTTCTGCCATTGCCATAGTTATAAAATACCTTATTGAACCTGGCACTCTTCTAATATTTTAGATTACAACTTCTATCAGACCTGATATCTCATCATATTAGTTATGTTTAATAGGAGTTACGTTCAGTTAATTCAGAGGGTATTACATTGCAGGAAAATGCTGTTAAGCATATGGAAAAATGAGTGTGTGTGTGTATGTGTGTATTAATATTAATTAATTAATATGACAGGTATGCAGCTTCATGAGTCTTGAGCTTATATACTGCATATTTCCCTCCTCTATTGCTAAGAGAAGATTGGAAATGTCTATTTCTGTTGTGAATAAATCATGGTGCCCTGTTACATCAAAACCTAAGGAAGACTGGTTTGTTAGAATAAAATAAAATCAAGCTGTAGTTTCACATTTGGGGTTGTTCTGTCAGATTGCAATTCCCTAACTTTGGAATTAATGGAAATTTGCTTTGTTTAATAAGGAGGAGTTTGTGTTGTTTCCTTGCAGGTGCTTTAGATATTAGATATAGGAAATATCTAATTTGATTATAGCTTACAGAAATTAATGAAAAGCTATAACTGTTCATATGCATGAAATAGTCTGGATATTTGCTGAGAACAGAACTAGAGATATTTTTAAGAATTTTGTTTCTGAATCATGAGTCTTCTTTTCAGACTCTTAATTGTGTATGGCTTCAGTTGGGACAAAACTCTTTTCCAAGATATGGTAACTTACTGATGTCTTCTCTAATGTCTTTGAATAAAGAGGGCCTGCTCGTTATGAATTCACTCATGAAATTCTTAAAGACGAGGAGTCCTTTTTTGATGGAAGGAAGGTCGCCAGGGAGCGAAGGATCTCTGTCATCTGTCGAAACCTGCCCTTACCAGAAGAATCATCCTAGAACTGCCAGGTGATACTGCGAAGGCTGACTGTTGCTCCCAGTGGAATTCAGTTTTTTGTCTAATTGACGTGGTGCTCTTTCTAAAGAAGTTGCTCTGACCTCCTGTTCCACAGAACTTTGGTTTTCTGTCCAACAATAAGTGATGGAAGCTTTCCTCCATGCAGTAAAGGGAGCCTAAAAGTGTACATAGTCTAAGAAAGTGTTCTGCCTCTTGCACTTAACAGGTAGGAAGAAGGAACTTCGCAACAATTTGAAAAGTAGATCTAACTAAAATGAACCACAACACTGTTAAACTCAGGAAGTAACATTTTTCTGTAATGTGTGTTGCTGCGATCATAGGTAGAGATGAAATTAAGAATTAAAACATACAGATTTGTTTTAAGGGGTTACTAGTGTGTTGTAATTTTTAAATTATCCTTTAATTGCTTTTCCAGTTACTGAACTATTGAACATTGTTTTCTTCTCAGCTCAGTATTCAAATGTATCACACATGCTGAGCCTCAAAATAGTGAATCTGGCAAAGCAGCTATACAGTTGTTCTCCAGTGCTATGATTTCTTTCTATAAAAGAGATTGGCTAAAAAAGAGAATTACATCTTTGATGCTTACAGCTATCAAATATGTAGATGAGAGCCAGGCCTAAGCTAATTACACCTTTTTTTCTTTATAAATGTATTGCCAATTTTTCAGATGGTAAAAAAAGTACTTGAATTTTTTATTTTCTCACAATTGATGTTGGAACTGAATATGTTGTCATTTCTGTGAATTAAATGATTTCAGAGATTCTGATAGGTGTCATAAGCACAAGATTAGCTTTAACATTTATGTATCTAAAACTAAATAAAGCTAAATTGGAGTATCTCTAAATGAGGATTTCACTGTGGTAGGTATTCAGTGAGTGGGAATAGGAGAAATTTCCACATTTTGACTTGCAGCATCAAAATGCTGAAGAGAAAAGAGGTAGTGAAGAAGTGGAAGACAGGTGAAGAGTCATGATTATAAAAAAGGAAGTGTTGAGGAATGTGAAAATAAATAGTACTTATCTAATCTTGGAAAAAATTGGGATGTGGTAAAATATGAAAAGTCTAGGGCTGAATCCTGTTGCTCAGGACTAGAATCCAGTTCTATTTACAACCCAGAAATTTACACCTGACTCTTCTCTGTATTGTTTTTATTATTCCTCCCTCCATTTCCTAAAAAAAAAATAGACCTCTTGAAACCCTGTTATATCTCTGCAGTATTCTTGACAATCCCTTATGCTGCTAAACAAAACAAAAAAAAAATGGCTGAGACAGCTTTGTTGGGATTAATGAGTGATATTTTGTTTTTAAAAAGAAGTATTATATATCTTTTGCTAAAAATATAGGCATGTGGCTTTAGTCTGATCTTGACTGCTTACCTTCATGATGGTTTGAATGACTATCAATGATCAATATTAAGATGTTTGGGGCATCAGTAATGTAAATAATGTAACAAAAATTTTTCCCAATGAATGATCCTGACCCCAGAACCGGAGACACTGTTTTTGTCCTTGCTTTACTTTTATTTCATTGATACCAGCATGTACATATCAATCAATCATTCATAATGCAAGTTTGGAACTAATAACTTCAGCCTTCCAAGAAAAGAAACAAATAAATTAAACACAATATCAAGGGGAGCTCTAATTGGGAAGGAATTCAGGAAAGAAAGAATTTAGAAATAATCCATAAACATTTTGAATGGTTGCCCGAGCGTTTCAGATCTAATTTAGACAGGATTCCATCAAGCCAGCAATGTGTTTAAGTGAAATATATCTGGGAAGAGTGTGAAAAGACTGATAGATTATATGCCCAGTTCAAGAACGTACTTCTTGCTTTCTGCTAAGTAGGGGTCATTCTGTAGAATTGTTCTGTGCTTGAAGTGAAGGATGTAGACATCACATGGTAGGGTTTTTTGCAATTCTTCCTCTTAAAAGCTTGTGTAAGTGCTGAGGACTGGATTGAGATAAAATAATAGAGCTTTGTTCTGTAGCTAAATATACAATCATGCTTTGCTGCTGCCATATAAGTCTGCATCCATTCCCCCCTCCATAACCATCAGCCCACACAACTGCACGCAGAGGCTGAGAGTTTCTCCACTTCATGCCACTGGTGGCTGTCGTCCAGAAAAGCTACATTCTCATAGTGTATAGGACGACAGCAGGGGTTTCCCAATGCCGGGATCTCACTCTTCTGCAACAGAATTGAGAGGGTCAAGTCATGGTTACTATGTGCCTTGGGACAGGTCCCACTACAATACTTGAAAAGGATGGTCTCTTCAGAGTTGTAGCCCAAACTTAGATCTTTGATACGAACCAGCAGACTTCGTAATTGACATTCCTGTTCCTCTGGTCTCTCCCACGTATGCCTCTTTGGCCTAATCCTGGTTGGGCCAGAGAACAATGGGGTTGGGCGATTTGAAGGCTTGTTCTGGAGAGTTGTGGCACTGGTGAATGTTCCTTTAAAGAACTGTGTTTCTGTAATGAGAAAAAGAGGAAGCACTAAAATTAAAGGAAGAATGGGCATTATCTTACATAATCCTGTATTGGATCTACTTTGAATAGGAGCACTAGCCATTAGTAGATTTAAGCAACCGGAATGCTTAGGCTTTATGTCCAGGAAAGGATTCTATGTGTATTGTTCTGAGAGTGCGCAAGTGTGGGAGTTGGAAATAAATAATTCATCTTGTGTGTATATAATACATCAGTGTTTAACCCTTGCTTGGTTAGATTAAAATAACCAAAGAAACCTAATTCAGGTTGGTAGACTCAAATACAGCATTTTGATGCTTGCAATAAAAATCCAAGTTCTCTTCCCTTTGCACATTAAATATGAATAAGAAATGAAATAAGACAGAGTATGCTTCTTTATCATGCACTCCTAAAGTTACTAATTATATGTTTTACCTTTTCATTATTGTCTACTTTGTGGAAAAGAAAACTAGAAAAAGCTAGGAAAAAAAGAATGTTACAAATAGAACATTTGGTCAGGAACAACATAAAGCAGTATGATTGTATAATAAATAACATCTGGCAACACCTTCAGAATTTTCCTATTAATGTTAGTGTAGTCATACACTACACTAACATTAATATAGTTAGTGCTTTCTTAATTTGTGGTGAATTACTGTTAATATCTACTACCTCTGAATAAAACAGGAAACACAATAGAGAGTAGCAGAAAAAGATTATGAAGAGCCTATGCCTAGTAGTAATCTGTGTGATCCAGTTATCTCACCTAGAGTAATGCAGTTTATATGCCCCAAAGTAGAAATATTTAGTAGATTAATCCATATGCACACACTACTTTAGAATTGCTAGTGAAGATGTCTACAGAGAGTCTCAGTCATTCCAGGTCCAAAGGTGTTTTTTCAAAAGGCAACTGAACTTCCTTGGGTTTTTATTGTTTTTGTTTTGTTTTTGAAGTAGCTTCTTCAGCTTTGGATGGTGGGGAATGGAAAGATTTATATTCCTTGCAGGCAGCTGGTCATTTGCATTCTTTTAGAGGGTCATTGAGGCTATTTGGAGGCTTCTCTGTGTCCTCAGGGTTGCCTGAGTAGTGCAAATGGAGGTGGAGCCTTCTTGGAACTGCTGAAAGGACTGTTGTAGGTGGAGATAGATATCTCCATTCCCCACCTCTGTTGAGAGGGCTGTCAGCTCTCAACAGAAAGGGAGGGAGATGTCATTATCTCTAGCTCATGGCTCAGTTCATGGATCTCTCTTTCATGGCTAAGATTGAAACAAGGACTATAAACTAGAACCAAGGCTGGTATGCCAACAGGAGTTCCAGGTATTTAAAAAGGAAGCTACTCAGATATAAAACAAGGGACATGAGTAGATCAAGTTTTGTAAAAAGAAAAGCCATGGGCTTTTCAGCCTCTTTTCCAGTAGACAAGGTCTAAAAGAATAGTGCCTAGAGGAAAAGGCTGGTGATGGACAACGAGCTGTTGTTGCTTTGAAAATCCACACCATCTCAGTTTTCATGTCATTGGACTGGTCTACATTTCTATCATTTTAGCAGTAGTCCACTTTATCAAAAGCTGTCAGTTATCCTGTTAATAATACATATTACACCTTATAAAATGCATGTACTGTATTCTGAACTGTGAATAATGGATATCAATACACATCTACCAAATAGAGAGAATATCACACAGTGCATGCTTTTCCCTGTATACCAAACATTTCCTTCAACTTTGTCTCTGCCTAAAATTAATGAAAAAGGCAAAAACAAACAAACAATGTCACATTTCAAGAAACCTGTGGTGCCTCAGATACTACATTATATTTTTTATCATTACTTACTTTTGGCTATGCTATGATAACTAATTCTAATTCAAGCAATGCTTGGGGTGTGTATGTGTTTGTGCATTCCATATCTTTCTATTCCCGAGAAGAAGGTTAGTGTAGTAAGATTGTTCAACAAGAAGGAAAAAAGAGAGGGATCTCTCTTCCTCCCTCATCTTGTAAGTACCATGATAAAATAGATAGAAATCTTAATGTATTGGTGACCTAAGTCACAGGTATTTCTTAGGTGTTGGATGCCTAAAACAATTCAATAATTTTGTTTTGTAAGATTCTGGTTACTGATACCCTGATGCTAAAAATTCATTTGGCAATTGATAGCCTTTTCTTTCATTCATGCTATTTTTGTTCCATTTACATTATCCCCCCACATCTAGCCACGATGTTCCCAACCTCCTTGATTTTCTTGACTCTATTCCATTCTTACTTGCCCTTCCTTTCTCCTTCACCTGCCTCTTCTGAAACGTCCTTCTGCTTTCATTTAATGCAGCATTTAGAATTGTTGCTATTACTATTTATGCCCACTGTTTACCTCCCCATGCCACTCTCTTTTTCCAGGAATCTCTCAGCATCTTCTGTGATTTATAAATAGAATGCACCTTTTGGATTTTATACTCCTGTATTAGGACTTCAAAAATCTTCTCTGCAACTGCCAAAGTAGATAGACTTCTGTAAAACTCAGAACATTAGCAATGTTCTGGAACATTATAGGAATTGAGTTTACATGATGTACTTACTTTGGTTACTAAATTAATCCATTTCCATGTACATGCAACACATTAAATACACTGTAAGTTGCCCAATACATTATAGCACAGAAAACTATAATAAAGTTTTTTAAAAAATAGCAAGCTGTAAATTAGGGAAATGGAGCCTCGTGGTCGTCTTTTGACCTGATTTAACATGATGCACCAACCCACCCTGGAAATTTGCAGAAGAGTAGGTGTTTAAACCTAGGCTGCTTAAATATAAGATTAATGAGCTATAGTCTGTCAACTGAGTAACCTTTTATCACCATTGCTGGTGTCCTAGTGCATGGCAGTTCCATGTCTTGGTGAATCAAGTCAGTAATAGTAGGAGTCCTTAACCTATTTCCAAGCAGTTGTTGTCATACCTAGTTGTCTCTGTAATACGTCTCTGATCCAGGTGCCTGACTTTTGCATCATGTTGCCATCAGTGAGTTGGGAAGGAGTCGTTTGGATCAACAGGATGAGAGAGAGACCGTAGACAAGCTGAGGTGTGCCCATTCCTTCCCCAGTGAGCAAGGCCAAGTTCTATAGGGAAGATAAATCTTTCTCTTCCTTTATATCTTCTTTGAAAGAGTGGGTGGGAGGAGGAATTGCCTGTAGACTGGTTGGAACAAAAGTATTAACCCATGCCCCTTTAAACTGTTACAGATCATGCAAACAGGGTTCCTCCAAGCAGGCTTAAGACGCTCAATACATAAATCATAATGGCTTTGATGAGATCTGTATTCAGGACAAGCTTTCCAACAGCCTGTTAACCTTTCCTCTAGATCACTGTGAGAGCCTCTCAACCAAGAAACAATTGATAGCCATGCTTGAACATGGCAAACATCCACTGCAGTCTCCTTGCCAAGAAAAAAATTGAGCCTGCCTGACAATGTGCAAAGCCCAAGTGATCACCTGAAGCAGCAGCAGACTTCATGATATCCCAGCAAAGAGATGCTGTCTAGGGTATGGTTAGATAAGAGGGAGCATAAAGATCAAGAGGTTCAGGAGGGATGCTCCCTAAATTATCAGGATGGCAGTAGGAGAATGCTACTTTCAGACTTGCAAGATTCTGTTAATGTAGCTTTGCAGTTACTAGTTTATTTGGCCATATTTCCTGTGTGGTCTGTTGCAGTGATTGCAAACCTATGACCCACATGACAAAAGTGACATGCCACAATCTTTTGAATGACATGCCAATGTTTACCAACCCCCCAGCAGCCATATTCTCACACAATTTTTGGTGACTGCAAGAATGGAGTTTGCTTCTCATGAGCTCTGGACCCTCCAGAGGTTGCACAAAAGGAACATGCTATCAGGCTTCTTCCGAAAATGAATTTGTTTTACGTTTGATTTACATTTATTTCATTTTTGAAACTATCTGATTTTTTTTATATAATATATAGCACCACATGTGATTAGACTATATTTTTTTTAAAAATGAATATGTAAATAATTGTTTCTCTTTTGTTCAAGGGGTGGAGTACATGACATGGCAGCAGAGTCAGGTTAAGTATTTTCTGACTGTTGGACATGCTGAGGCCAAAAAGTTCACCATTACTGATGTACCTGATAATGCTGACATCTGCAATATCTTGAGGATGCACTAAAAAAAATAATGTCCTTTGTAATGTTACACCAATTTGAAGTCATACACTGTCCTCCATTTCTTCTCCAGAATTGCAGTTCAGGTGCTGTCTTTCATTTGTGGCAGTTGAAACATCATTGCCTAATCCTGCCCACAAATAGTGGGTTTCACATTTTGGAACTCTTGAGTTAAATCTTTAAAAAAAAAACATGAATCCTTGAATGGAAATTCCTGGAGTTGATTATGCCCAGACCTGCTGTGTTGAAATGCCTTTGAAAGGAGTTGGGGTATGTGTGGAGGAAAGAAAGGCTACTCCATAAATTATTCATATATGGAACATGCTGAACTGACTTTCTTGGCCCTAGCTTTAGAGATACAGCTTTTGTGAGATATCCTGAAAGAGGGACTCCCTTTTCATGCACAGATGGTTGGTAAAGAGATGGATCTAGGCCTTCCTCTTGAGAGAACTTGAAGATAGTGATGATTTTTGCTTCTGATTGGAAAACATATACTTCCTGGTGTGCACATGATGGGACACTGAACTGGACAATGAAGCGCAGCCACATGGTTTGAAAGGAAAATGTATCCAGTTGTTAAATAAGTTGCAGAGCAGTTGTGATGTTCCTTGATTCTTTGTACATTGAAAAATATAACTTTCAGATGCCTTAGATTCCAACAGAAACTTGCGTTCTGATGCACCATCTTTTAGTACTAGATACCAGGAACATAGAAGAAAGAAATATGGGTGACTTTTTTGGTTAAAAATATGTTGGTCTGATATAGTCCAACAGAAACCATTCTACACACTTTTGAAATAATTAAATTAGATAACCTGCTATAATAAAACACTTTCTCTGTAAAGTTTCAGTATTCTCTTCCAAATACTGTTCAAAATGCATTCCCAGACATTATTTTTCAAATTTAATTTTCTCCCATATTTTCCTTTTTAGCTTCCTTCCAATATCTTCTCCCAAATATTTTTTCCCTTTTACTTCCAGTCACTTCTTATTTTTTGTTTCATGGTTGAAGCATGTTGGCCTTCAGTGTTGTCTGCTTGTATAAAGTCTGTTCTCTCACCATTAATAAAAAAGCAGGATGTGGGAAGAAAAATTCAAGATAGAATAGAAATTGTCTAGAACCTACCTAGATTTAGGTGGTGAATAAATTTCATAAATGGAGTAAAACGTACTTAGAGCTATGAGATTTCCTTTAATGAGAAATACATAATATAAAGACTGTTTCAAATAAATAAGCAAATGCTATTCTTTCCACCTCTGATATACACCCTTTTAGAATCTGATATATCATTTGGACTTAGCTGAATAGGAGTATATCAGTGAATCCCATTGTACTCCATTTCATTCAAATGACATTTCTCAAAACCTATGTTTTAGTGTTTATCTGTTTTGGGCAGATAAATGTTGAATGTTTTTGCTCTTTTTGAGGCTAGAGCAATAGGAACTGTGTACTCTATCTCAAGCCCTGAGTGGAGCTATTCTATTCATTACCCTGCTATTAACACTTCCCTGGCTACAACATAATGGAGACAACCTATTGTGGGCATTGCCTAACATCATATACAAATTTGCACCTAAGTTCTTTTGTCCTTAGTTCATTAAGGGAACTATACATATTCTCTCAGCTCTCTGGATGAGTGAATTGGAGGGATGTATCAGGTATGGTGTCTCTGAGTTTGCACACAGCATAGTGAATAGGACAAAACGGACAAATGGCTCTTTCTTCATGTGAGAGCTGCAAAAATAAAATACGTTGTTGCTCTTTTTATATATCCTGAATGTCCTTAACAGTCCACATTGGGAAAATCACTAATGGTCTTCACATCTACATCATAATAATCAGCCATGGAATTCAGATCAGAAAAATTGTGGACCCTTATTTTGGAAAAATCTCTAATAATTGGCTGATTAATATGCTATGGATATAGAGTCCATCAGTGATTTATCTGATGTGGACTCCATGGCTGATTATTATATTGTGGATATGGAGTCCATCAGTGATTTTTCCAATGTGGACAACAGATATGGATTCCACTCTTGATATCTTGAATCAGACACAGAATAGTGAGGAATAGCCTGCAGTGGCATTGGAAGCCAACATGGGATGCAGAAAGCTTTGTATTTATGCCTTGATATGAACAGCTGTCATTTGTAGGATTCTATAGAAGTCGAGGGGGCCTCCAGGAGCAGCAATCTGGAAGATATGGACTTCACTAATTGTGTTGCAGTTGTATAGTCCAGTTGACACAGGAAGAACATTTCTTCTTATATCTTTTTAATGATAGTTCCAATGTCTCTATTTCAAATCCAGGAGATTATAGAACCCCAAAACTTGAAAGACTCTGTTACTGATACCTTGCTGTTAAATATAGTTAAGAGGGGCTAAAATAGAAGGGCTCCTGCTCAGATTCTAGAAGGAATCTAAGGAAGTCAATATAACTCCTGTGATGTTGGTTCCACCACTTTCCAGCTAGATCCTTGCCCCTCATGGCTAGTTAAGGCCTTTTATGAGATGACGGGGTTAGATCTGGGCAGCAATTAAACACTTTTTTTTATGGGGAGGGAGCTGTTTCCCTCTTCTGTGCCTCTTGCTCAAGAAGCCTTCACTAAGTCCAATTATTTTGGACAACGTTAGTCTGATTTCTAATATTTCTTTTTAGATAAGTTTGTAAAAAGAGTTCTGATGCCAAAATGCTAGTAGTTACCTTTAAGGCCCTACACCTGGTAAATTACAGGACCACATTTTCCTGTATTTTTATATCTCTGATCAGATTAATAGGATTAACGCCGCCCAGTCCCATTTAACTGAGAAAGTCATCTGAGATGACATTAAAGAGATTGTCAACTGCTACCCTGATGCTTTGGAACTGCCTCCTTATGGAGATTGGGTCTATTCCTAATCTCCTGAGTTTCAGGAAAGCAATGAAAACCTGACTAGTTCATTTACCTCAGGACATAAGTATGTTGTGATTATTGGGTGAACTAGCAGGTATATGACTGTATAATTCATTCTTGTCATACTCTTTTTTTGTGATCTGTTGGGATTGATATTTTTAGAGTAGATTTATTACTTTTTGAAAATGTTCTCTTTTTTATGATTTATCTTACTGTTTTCGGCTCAGAAGTTCAGAACATTCAATTTGTGCCATGCAAATAAAGAGTAGGAGAATGGTGATGGTATCTTTCCTCCAGTGGTCTTGGTCAGTGTTCTAGGAGATATCGTATCATATAGCATGTCCGGAGAGGGAGAGAGACATGATCACAATTAAAAGGCAGCTACTGAAACTAGAGATGCTCTATGGCTTTTGTGCTCAATTCTGCTATGAGCTGAAATTCTCTAGTTGCTAAATTCAGAACAGACTCACCATTGTCTGTGACTAAGAAGTGGTTGTTATTGGTCAATAGCTGCTCTACCTTCAAGAGCTTCTCCTTGGTGTATTTGATAGTTTTGGGCTTCTTTTACATTCTGAATCTGCTTCCCCCGTGGCTGCTAGCGTTCCTGAGATGCTGAGGTAAAGGTCAGCAAAGGAAGAAGAGGAATTTGGGGTAGGCGAGCTGTCATCTGATTGTCAGCTTAGCCCTGTGGTGTATGGAACATCTTCTTGAGCCTTAGTGAGGCTAGGAGGGCTTGTATGTGGCATGGTAGAGCCCATAAATCATCATCAGGCTGACACAAGAAGGATCTCTGCTGTTTGCATTTGGTCTCTCCAAACAGTACATTCCTTCCACTTGGCATTGCACATACCACAACAGGACCCAATGGAGGCTTAGCAGGAGTGGAAACAGTCTGGAGGATCATAAGAACGGAAGAACAGACTGGAAGTTAGGTGGATTCTTATGGTTAGGCCAAGGGACCCCAATCTTTTGAGCCAATGGGCTCATTTGGAATTTTGAAAATGTGTAACGGAAGTTCCACAAAATGTCTGCTCTTGTGGGTATTGCCAATTGTAACAACACATTTATCAAAAGACCCTACCTTTTTATCCTCTCAAAATACTTCCTACCAGTACAGTTCACATTTGTTTTTCTTTAGAAAAAATGACAGATGGGTACACTTTATAACAAAGCATTCAGGCTCAAACCATTATCATTCCCCCCCCCCAAAGATGCCTCTTGGGTCTATATGGAATCCAGATGTAAATTCAGATACATAGGTTATGCTTGAACTTTGCTTTGCAGGATATTAGCTTCCCCTTCATTATTTTTAAATTAATATAAATAGGAGGTGGAAACTTGTTAACTGCCAGGAAATGTGACCTTTTTGGACCCAAAGGTTTGGTCTGATGTGGAAGGAAAGTTGGATTCCATCTTCTCTTGTGGAAAGCAAAGGATAACCTCAGTTTAACTGGAAAATCAGGTTCTAGAAGACAGTTTTTAAAAGTATCTAGAAAAATCCTGGCTTTTCTCAGACTTTTGCTAAGGACAGAACATTGAAATCATTCTTAATAATAGTTTGAATGAAGGCCTGTCACCTTATTAAGCACCCTCTTCAATGTGCAGGCTATGTTCTAGATTACAGGTGAAATTTGAAAGATTAGAATATCGTGCAAAAGTTCATTTATTTCAGTAATGCAACTTAAAAGGTGAACCTAATATATGAGATAGACTCATTACATGCAAAGCAAGATAATTCAAGCCATGATTTGTCATAATTGAGATGATTATGGCTTACAGTTCATGAAAACCCCAAATCCACAATCTCAGAAAATTAGAATATTACACACAATAAAACAAGGATTGTACATAGAACAATATCGGACCTCTGAAAAGTATAAGCATGCATATGTACTCAGTACTTGATCTGGGCCCCTTTTGCAGCAATTACTGCCTCGATGTGGCGTGGCATGGAAGCTATCAGCCTGTGGCACTGCTGAGGTGTTATGGAAGACCAGGATGCTTCAAAAGCGGCCTTCAGCTCTTCTGCATTGTTCGGTCTCATGTCTCAAATCTTTCTCTTTGCAATGCCCCATAGATTCTCTATGGGGTTCAGGTCAAGCGAGTTTGCTGGCCAATCAAGCACAGTAATCCCACGGTCATTGAACCAGGTTTTGGTGCTTTTGGCAGTGTGGGCAGGTGCCAAGTCCTGCTGGAAAATGAAGTCAGCATCCTCATAAACCTCATCTGCGGAAGGAAGCATGAAGTGCTCCAAAATCTCCTGGTAGACGGC